CACACCGGAACGACAAAGCGAGAAAACGGGGATAAAGGGTGCGAGGGCATGCAGCGTGCAGAAAACGGGTAGGATAGCGGGATGCACATGGCTGTTAACTATCCTTTGAGTCTCGTTCGTGGAACACCTCACCCGTGCAATGTCTCACTTGGACCACGGGCCTGTGACAGTGTATGGTTGAGCTACGATGGCGGATATGCTCGGCTGCTTCGTAAAAAGACATTTTCACAGCTCTACTAGCGCACAAAATAGCAGACACCCGGGGCTCTTGGATCCGTGTAAGCATCGTGTGACGGTATACCTGATTACACACAGTGATCAGTGAGCCGAGCTTATCCACCGTATGCTTCGATAAGTTGTTAAGAACGCACCTCGTTGGGCTCCAACCACCGTGTTAACGGAATTGTCCAGTCTTCTGTGATTTATGTCCGCGTATTATTAGTCCCGCGGACACGGTGCCGGGCACCGGCTTAAAAGGCGACCCTCTAAGCGCTGTTTATTATTGCACGGCCAGCCCGCGGTGGAACATCTGATTACCGCCGAGTGGCAAACGCGGATCAATACTTTACTTGAACGCATCGTTTGCGAATTGGTAACTTAATTATATCGCGCGCGATATGTATAGGAGACGAATGTCGTGTGTCTCTGGGGATTCTCGTTTCTTTGAAAAACGAACGAAGCTTCTGTTGTAACTGTTCTTCTTATCTTGTAAAGTGTCTGTTGATATAATTATAGAAATTTTCTTGTGTAGGGGGAATAAGGAAAACGAGGGATATGGATGATTGCGGAATTTCTCTTTGGAATTCGGGTGATCGGTACGGAAATTAATAATTTTTTTTAATAGTGATTTCATTGGTATATTCTATGACTGTTTATGACTAATTGCCCACTTCGATATGGTTTTAAGAGATTCGCGTTACGTTCAGTATTCAGTACGTCCACTTTTGTCAAGTGAGATGCTGAAGTTATTTTAAAGGACTCCTTTTGAGTATTTTCAAAATAAAAATAGAAATAATGAGCACGGAGCGTTACATGAGTTTTATTAATGTACGCTGAAGTGATCAGTTGCAATTAGTCATAAGCGGCCAGGGGAGATATAACAGAAATCATTGGCGGGCCAAGTGAACGAACGTCATGCGAGTACAACACACCTCGCCGTGGATGTTATCCATGAGTTAAATTGATCACTCTACGCTCTAGCCACTGTACTCGCTCGATCTCGCCCCTAGTGACTTTCATTTGTTTCCTGAATTGAAAAGACTTTATGAGGGTAACTGAATGAGCCGCAGCTTGAATGAGATGAAACAGCCTATTACCGGAATGGATTATGAAATCCCTCTCTAACCCTTTGAGACAAGAATTTAAAGGGAAAGAATAAAATACTAGCCTGTAAATAGGGCGAATGTTTAAACATCGGACAACCACTGTTATGTAGAACTATAAAAAAAATTGAATTTTAATAATGAGACTGTTACTATAGATGCACTAATCATTAATTTTACTAGAAATATTTTCAATCTATACCTTGTATCTAGCATAAAGTGATCATCAAATTTTCTCACAAAATTCTAACACTTTTTTACAATTAAATAATCCGTAATATTTCATTCTTGATATTAAAATTAACAATTTTCTATCGTATTGGTCAACATGTTGTATTCGATAAATATTATTTCCGATATTCAATGTATTTTGATTAAGATTGAGTAATGTCAGATCTGCTGTTCTTAAGTTCAGTTTTAAATATTACATGCATCTGTTCTTTTTCGATCGCGTATATACAGTGCAACTTCAGTTTCACTGTTAGAAGCTATCGGTGTGGCTCGTCAGCTTTTACGCTCCACACCCGTTGTGTCGATTCCTCCTTGATAGTGTAGATATCATCGTAATGACCACATGACTTCCTTGCCTTTGAGGAGGAGAACAAAGTCACGCGGAATCAGATTAGACGAAATAGAGAGGATCCTCGAGCACGCTGGCAATGCAATCTCGTCACGAAATTCCCTTACATTGACCGACACGTGTGATAGCGCGTTATCCTTTTGTACGTTCCATCTATTTTTTGCGACACGCTCGACCTCACAAGTATCAGTTTCCACCTCGGACAATTGCTGCATTTTATCAGTGCCCCCTTGCGTACTACGACCGAAAGATGATTTGCAGTTTCATCGTCATTCGAATGCACTTCACTATGTTGCAACGTGTTGCGAAAACGACAATTGCTTTTGAATCAAATCAAATACCACAACGATATGAAAAATGTAAACTATTACTGCTTCATTCTTTTATCTATGTAATTAATATCAATGCATTAAACATTCAATTAACCTCTTGTCTTATGATTTATATGATAATCATACGACTATGTCGTCATTAATAATTTATTGGAGAAGGAGAAAAATTCTGGGTGCATTCTATGTCTATCTTTGTTCTAAAGTATAATCGATGATAATAGAAGAATAATATTTCATTTGGTTTCAAAAGGGTTGGGTAATGTTTATGCTTTCTAACCATGCGTCTGACATCATATTGTAGGGCAAGGGGTTAAACAGATCTATAGAAGATCGTCTGTGAATAATCCTAGACTGCACTAAATTTAAACGATTTTCCAAGTACTATAGTATATTATAAATAGTGTAAATAGTTCATGAATATACTGTATTTATTTAGATTTAGATTACACATCAAGTATTATTTTTTGATATTTTATGTTGTGTGTATTTGTATGTTGGTCATTTTATATGTTTCTTTTCACTCGTAGAATATGGATCAGAAACAACCCAATGTTGGCAAGGTGTGAGTTAATAATGATGTCAACAATGATCCTTATAAATCCCAGTACCAAGAAAACGGATTCAGCTACTTCGTATGGGCTAAGTGGCTTGTTCTGTGTACACCCTGTACAAATACGATGCAGCGTATAGCCGACGTGATACAGACATTTATGGGATTTGATCTGTATACAACAGTGCTCGACTGAACTCACCTGAAACCATGTTTCCGCTCATGTATTCATCAGTCATAGCATAGTGAGCAATCCGGTTAGGACTGTGCGTAAACGTGACTTGAGGAAACCATGGTATTTAAATTTTTAATCTGCCATATTCGCTCCTTAAACATCGAGTTCATGGGAAATTTCATTTTCTGCTATAACTTATAACGAACGCATATTTGCGTTAACACAGATATGTAAAATAACTTTATATCATACCTTCTAAATAATTGTTCAAATTAATTAGCATTCATGTAATAACGTTATTACTAAATTCTTGAAATTTGTTTACTGTATTAATATTATATTTTAGAATTTAAAATAATATGAAATTATTTGGATATTATTTTCGCTGATTGTACGTATTCACACGTAAAACACGTGAATTGTTTTGAAAAATAAACAATAATATTCGGCGACACATATGGCAAGAGAATAAAATAAACGTTATTTTTGAAATATTAAACTTATTAGTATTTTCAGTCCACGATGCGCGATTCCATCGTATTGGCCGATATTTCGTGTGATTTATTCGAAGCTATTCTCGATTTACGTGGAAATTGTATCAAACTTCGATTTACGTCATGAATATGTAATGTGTATAAGCTGCGACGATTCAATGAAAAACTGCTTTGAAATACAGCCTAAAAACCTGCTGATTTATTCAGCGTGATTTCGAATTGAATTATCGGCGACTTCAAACGGTGTAGACGAATGAATGAATGAATAACGCTTATTATTGATACGTCCTATATTATGTTGCTCTATAATAATACGTTATACTCGCGCACGGTCTGGGTGTGACGGGATATAATGCATGCCCACTGTGAAATGATGGATGCTGAAAAATTTCATTCCAGGAATTAGCTGACTATGCTCGAACGAATCTCCGCCAAGAACATTTTATTTATTCCGAGAAACTCGAAAAATGTTCACCATAAACATCTTAAAAAACGAAGGCACAGTAACTAGCTTAACATAACCAGGTCGCGAGACCAGTGATGCGTTAAAATAAACATGTTTCGAGTGTTGGCGGAAGTAAGGTGACAGAAATGTGGGCGGATTAAGGCTCGAAACCTCAACCTCTGCCGTGAAGTAATATGCACTGGGGGAAGTAATTTAAACATCAATCAGTGCTTAATGTTTCGGTCCAAGACCTCGCCGTAAACACATTTCGTACGTTGAATTTCTTCGATAAAAATTAGTTAATCTTCCTGAATATTGATCTAAGTGTTACGAGTGTTATGAGTTAAAAGAATGTTATCGTACTGTTGTAAATATTGTCGATGATAAAATGTATATAATAGAATATTTATATAGCATTCAGACTTAACTATTCCTAGTAATTACTAGTATTATAGTATTTACTAGTATTAGATTGTCCTAAAAGTTCCTTTTATTTTATTTGTAATAATGACATTTGTAATGCCATCTTTCAGAATTTCTACCAAATTGAATACCGTAGAAAGAGAAATCAATCTTTAATATTAGTTCAGTAATCAAAAAGCTAGATTAGTAATTCTTAGTATTATAGTATTATTATGAAAAAAAATTATTACGAAAATTATAAAAGAAAAAGACAAACGAATCTCCTTCGAATAAACATCAATTTCTTGTTATTCATAAGATACTGTGACGAATTCAATTAATTTTATCTTTAATTAAAGATAACGTAATCGTGCCAATAATAACTCCTACATCTTTGCGCTCTTTTCCTATACGTTTCCGTTTCTCCCTACTTCGGTCCTCCGCTCTGTCGTCCCAGAGGTGGCCCGTTAAAAATTGACGGTCAAACACAGGGTTAAACGGAAGTAATATTAGAAAACTGGCCCACGTGTGGAGAACGCACTCGGAAACGGAAATAAATACTGCACACGTAACAAGTCGCGGAACGGTGGAAACGGTTCGGTCTCTTGTAAATATGCTCTTAGATATCCAGATTGATGGTAAGAATAACTAAACATAGTTCAGTCGCGGGTAAACAAATAAGGAGGATGGCGAGAAGTGTGCCAAAAACACGGTGGATGTTGGCGATTTCATAGTTATTTAACAGTGAAACCCAACAGACCGAAGAGAACTTCCTGAACGACCTCTGTTTGAATTAAATAGCGAATCCCATTCCCGAACAGCAAATATTCAGCGTACTCCAACCGCAACTCGGAATCGCATATTACGGAGTTTTCCCTCCCCACTTAAAAAAAAGAAGAAAAAACGCGAATAAAGAGGTAAAAGGAACGCCTATCAGCCCGTTCAGGGATTCGATGACCGGTACCATTGAAAAATCGGGGTCTCTCGTGCGGTTGCGCTATAAATATTGTGTGCTTCGGTGACGACGAAACGAGATATGGATGAAATGAGCTCGCCAGAGGCTAACGAAGGTCGTATCGAGGTTGCAACGGTTAAAATCTCCAAATCGACCTGGGGTTAATTTAAACTTCTTATCCGCGGACCTCGTTGATCGCGTGTATTATGTATTCATTTGGACGATTGGTAATCCTACGCGAAATGAATAGTTATCGACGATATAATCCAGAATTTGACGGTACATTGTTTGAAATAATTGTTCATTAGAAATTACAAACGAATTCTTGTTATTCGAATGTTTCGTTCGGATAATATAATTAATCACTGTTTGCAGTAAATTATTTTGCCTGTTTAGTTGAAGGTAAAATTGGATTTCATTATTATCTCTTGTTGGGAAAGTAATTTCTGTGATTATTTTCACTATTTTCTAGATTGTTATAGGTTTTGTAATTTACTCGGTTTATTGCGAGGATTGAACATTTTAGAATTGAAAGTGAATTCGACAAGCTTGACGCATTCTGATTCGATTTTCGATAAAGGCTTTTTGAACTGGTAGAAATGTTGGGTCAAGCGTATATTATTAAATGTATTAATAAGTAATTCGTTCTGTTTAATTAAATTTGATATTCGTATTTCAACAAATCAGAGAATCATGTTGCTTCATTGATGTTCATTCTTTTTTAAGATGTACGTGAGGGAAAAGCGCAAGTAAAAGTTGTGAACATAATTTTGCTATTCAAAAAGAAGTAAATCTATTTCCTTGCAGTAAATTGTAAAATTGCTTTTTAGAATCGCGTAGGCGAAAGTACAGAAATTAATTATAATTTCACAGCACGGAAGATTAGTGTTCTAACGTTAAAGCATAATGGTGGAACTAATTATAGCGCGCCTATTATTAACGCGAGACTACTTTGAAGGAGACTATTAATATTTCGCTCATACTAAATTACGTTAATACAATAAAATAATACAAACAGATGAATATAAAGCACGTGATCATCTAATCTTGCATGGCTATTATACTCCATTTCGCGACGCATCCGTTACACATCAGCGATTATTCCGTCGCGTGAGAAACTTTTGTGAAAAAAACGCGATCACAAGCGGAACAATGATATCACTCATCGATAAAAAAAAGGATCATGATTGTCGGGCGACGAAATAATCGCCTGGAAATTGCTAGGTTTGAAACCGCTTTTATTCTTGCCGTACAGCTCGCCACGCGCATATTCTGTTTTATCAATCATACAATCACTCGATTACCTTCATACAACGTTGCCCGTTTTGCGATCCACTTTAATCAAATTCTACGTGCATTGTGGCAATTTTGTCACGAATAGAAATATTTAATATCATTGCATAACATTACGTTTATCATGACTATCGGCCATGTTGTAGAGAACCTGTAAGTACAATTAAAAATAATATTATCAAGAATAAATCGACTTCGAGAATTTGTCTCAGAACTAACTGATAACAGAACATTGAAATATTTCCATGAACGTAGCTTTCAGTTCCATTCTTTAATAAGTTGTGACAGTTTTTTCATTAGCATTGTAACTTGTGTCGCTTGCAAAGATTAATAATATATATTTTACTGTTTACGTAGATGCATTGGTTTCTTAACCTAGTTTAGTATTTTCGTTATAATCTTTTTTGATCCTCCAATGTCCACCATTCTTCATGGAGACCCGAGGGAAACAGAGTATCTTTTCCTGCATTTCTGCACATAAACTTGCTTGTCGGCAAACGGTAAGCGTTAGAGGAGACGAGGCCGTGTTTGTAGGAAGTGGAAAGGCAAAAGGTCTCTTATCTCCTACAACTGAATCCCATTGTGAGAGCTAGGACCGCGATCCTGGTCACCTGGTTTCAAAATTTTTCTTTATAAGAAAAAATCGAATAAGATAAGAGATGTTCGATAAATATTATACAGGTTACTTCTTCAATGGAAATTTCCATTGAAAACATAAAATAAATATTTAGTATGAAACCCTATACATAATAAAATAAAATATATGTTTCATATGTAGTTTTGTTCTCGTAAATATAAAATTTGCATGTCCGTTGATTTAATCATTGTTTCAGATTTCATTCCTGCGCATGTTTATCGGATTCAATGTTTATGAATATGGACCGAGATACGATATGATTTCTGTCCGCGATAATGCGACATTAATCGCTAAATAGAATGAATTTAACAAACGGAAAGTACATGTTGTTGCGGGATTTCATTAAAATGAAATGTGCATGCAAAAATGCTACAGTTATGGCGGTTTGGATTTAATAACATTTGAGGGCCAACGTCAAGGATTGCATTTGGTATATGAATCTGACAATGACGGTAAACAAGTGGGGGAGGGATATAAAATTCCATTATAAAGTTCATTATAAGGACAAACACAATTTTCTTATTATTGTTTCCTATATTCTTTACAGACCGCTTCGGCCGACTTAATGCAGTGCCTTTAAGAGCCACGAAATCAATATTTCTCTTTACAAGGATTAATTATGTACCATTATGAAACGTTTTTCTCGTCATTGGCGAAGCATTCTTTTACGTTATCGGAACTCTGCAAAATATTAACTTCTTCCTAGAGAGCAATCAAATAAAATAAATATCCATTAAATCATTTTATTCTGTGAAATTCTCCCCGATATACAATTTATTTTTCCCGGTAAAGTATTAAGTACTATGTCAAGTATTTGTAGTTAATTAAAGTACGAATTAGTCGGCATTACGTAAAAATAATATTAAGAGGAACGGTGAAGTAAACGTAATCGATTCTCTCGATTTTCTTTTCTTTGGTTAAGAAAGAAAGACATTTTCTATTCAGAAGCTGTAACAAGGTTTGGGCTTTCTGACCTAGAAAAAACGAAGAAACGAGTAAATCCTTTAATAACTAACGACAATATTATTTATTCCATTAAAATTTAAGAAAATCAGAAAATATCAAAAAATGGACTTAACCACGTTGACTTCTGAACGACTCAATTGTAAAATGATGATTCATTAGTTTGTTTCTCATCGTTGTGATTACTTTGGTTTTAGTGGAATTGGGAATTTCGAAGGAAATCGGTGCAATTATTCGTCGGATATGTGGAAAAATGGAAATTAAAGTTAGAAAGTACAAGTTGAAACAAAGAGGGATTACAATGTTGTACAAGTTGTCTGAATTTTGGATTCGGTGCGGTGCAAGCCCCTTTAGTTTCGCAAAACAAACAGATATCTCAAAGGCGAATAATTTGAAGGAGTAGCAAACATTCAGGGAAACACGGGATTGTAGTTAAGGACGATATCTTTCGAGAATTTTCGACATTGTTTCATTCCATGGGAACTGTGAATGGAGCGTTGTATAAACTCGGCTGTGGAACATTTCGAAAGGAGTTAAATAATCAACAGAAAGCACAATTGGGCGTAAAACTTTGAAGCTTTATGACGATTTTATGGCTGTAATAAGCTCGTCGTACTGAATAATCAATAAACGCACATCTGTATACGAAAGCTGGTGAATACGTCGAATATTTTTCAATCATGAATATTATCTTACACGATTTCTAGTTCACAGAAAAGAACATTATAATTTTAACCATTATATTCATAAAATAGCGGACATAGTTTTTATATGTTCGTTAATTTCTAATGTAACATTTATTTCGTATATTAATTTATAATTTATTTAAATATTACAAGGGTTAACCCTTAAATTATAACCCTGAACATTTTAATATTTTTTTCGAAAGAAAAATAATACAATATTATATTCTCTCCTGTAACAAATATGTTATTCATTAAATATTAATATACTTAAATTACCACTGCCACTTATTTATTTACAATTTCACGATGTCTTAGAGGCCTCACCCGAAGATTAAGACTTCTATAATAGTTCAGCACCAGATCGAATTATGTACCAACGAGTCCTTGATAAAACAATCCAGCGTAATTGAACAGAGAAACGTGAGCCAATTAATATCGTGCAATTAATCTTCCAGAGAAACGGATATCGAATGGTTGCGTGCCATTTGTATTCTGAACATTTCATCTTAGACTAACACGCTCTCGTTACGTTTTCATTTGATTCGTTCGAAACACCCCAGTCATGCAACAGCGAACAGCAATAAATAAAGAATAAAAGCGTAATAAACGCGGACGCGCACAGCGTCGTACAAAAGTGCTCCATTGTTCTATTTATCTTTCCAAAGTAGCTTTTAAAATTGCGAATTTACATAAACATTCGGTAACGAATCAGCAACACATGTTTCAGAACATTCACCCCTGCCAACCTCCACAAAACACAGCGTAAAAATTGCATTTCCAGAAAACAACACCAACTTAGTAAAAAAAAGGAAAGAAAACCATAAAAACAGAGGCACCATTAAAATGAAAGAATGTACCAAACCATTAATACTAATAATCACCACCGACATCACTATCATAACACATCGCATTACAATATTTCCAATAGACTATTTCAAATATCACAATGCACCGTAGCAAAACATACTACACGCTACAACGATAACTACTAAAATTAATAACTAACAGCACTAACCACTTCGCATTCTATATTTATCACAACCCTCCGAAGCGTTCCCCAGTCTCATCCCCCTCGATCCAGCGCACGAGCACAACCCCGAGCCGATCCTCCAACGCAGCGCATTACCAGTCATTATCCGTCCAAACGAACTTAGAAACTCCGCGGCAGCGTGAAAATGGCGCGCGATTATAAAAAGCCCCCCACACCGATGATGGTACATAGCTGTACCCCTCTAACCCCCTGTGCATTGGCAACGACACGTCTGTCAGGGAACTTTCGACCGTGTACAATGCGTATCAACCGCGGGAAACCCGATAAATCAGGATGAACACTCGCGTCCAGTGAGTCGCGAGGCACAAAGAGGGCCAGGAATAGCCCCGGTGTGTCCCGGGGAAAGGAATCTTATCGGTCATTGGACATGGCCGGTGTACACGTCGGGCACGATGATCGGGGGACGATACGGGACGATTACCCCGCAGGAATCGACGCGGCCTCCGCTTAACCGACCCTTTCTCTACCCACCCCCTTCCCTCCTCGCCCACCTTCTTCTACGCTGTCCAGCGTGCGTCGTCTTGAGTCCTTCGAGCGTGAACGGAAATAGCCATCGGTGTGCACCGGAAGCTCCAACGGCAAAGCCCCCTATTTTGAGAAAAAGGGATCCCCCGGCACCCCGTACCGTTAACGGGTACCACGGCGTCGTCGGCGGCGTGACGAGAGTGGCCGACACACGTATATACCGCGGAGAGCGAAAAAACGAGAGAGAAACAAAGAGAGAGACAGAGAGAGAGAGAAAGAGTGAGAGGGACAGAGAGAAAGAGAGAGAGAGAACAAGA